CAAAACCCCAAAACCCCAAAACCCCAAAACCCCAAAACCCCAAAACCCCATGAGTAGAATAGATAGCAGTTTTAAATAATTTTTTAATGTGAGAATAAATATATTTAAGTCACTACTAGTGAATAAATCAGTCTTTGATATTTTTTGATATCTTTTTTAGTATAACACTCAGATGTATGGAGCACAGCATTTAAGGACAAGTTTGGAGTCATCACAGTCATTTTGGATCTTGAAACCAGCAACATAGTAACCATCCTTGAGACAGGTATAGTCCTAACCAGTAGCCATACATTTGTCTAATCTCTCACATTTCTTGTGGGTATCTTGAATGTAACAGTTACCGTACTCGTTAAGATGATTCTTATCTTATGTGTTAACTTGAGCGCATCTACCCTTGTATACGGCATCTTCATCATCAATGCGGCTTGGGTTTCTGTAAACAGACCAGATGAATTTTCCAGCTGGACACTGATTGAAGTATGATTTTGAGCATGAGAAATCGGTAGTATAGTCATCGACTCTCAAGTAGTCCCAACCGCATTTCTGAACAATGGTACCGTCAATATCAGCCCAGTTATCGGTTTTAGTTTCATGAGAAATAAGACCCTTCAAAAGATGATCTTCATAATCTTCATTTATCTAAAATTCATGATCTCTATCTTGATTTGCACTGCCAAAGTCATTGCCATACACAGACCATTCGTCATCAGATCTAATCCAGTCGCAACCGTCCTTTCCGTCTTTTCCATCCTTGCCGTCTTTTCCATTGCAGCCATCTCTGCCGTTTCTTCCATCATTTCCTCTGGGGCCTTAGAGTCCAGGAGCGCCTTGGAGACCGCAATCACCCTTTGAACCGTCACAACCTCTGGGTCCTGCAGGTCCTTAAAGTCCATTCTTTCCGTCACATCCAGCTGGACCGGTTGAACCAACCAATCCTCTATCGCCTTTATCTCCTTTGTCTCCTTTTTCACCTTTCTCACCATTTTCTCCTTTATCGCCTTTATTGCCTTTTTCTCCTTTATCACCTTTCTCACCTTTATCTCCTCTAGATCCTTAAAGACCTTGTTCTCCTTTGTCACCTTTACATCCTTGTGGACCTTGAAGACCTCTCTCACCTCTTTCTCCTTGTGGACCTTAAAGTCCTGGTGCACCTTGTAAACCGCAGTCACCCTTTGGTCCTTGAGGGCCTCTTGGACCTTCTAATCTGCACTCATCTTAATTATCTCCTTTGTAGTTACCTTGAGCACTAGCTAGTACATTTCTACCGTGATGTGATTGGACAGACATTACACTGAGAGGAATGGCAGTGAGAATTAAACTCTTGATAGCGATTGACTTCATTAGATTGTTTTTGGATGTTTTTGATTTTATTGTTATTATGAATGATTTCGCAGCTTATATATCTTTGTAAACTGTCTTATTTGAGTAACTATTTAGTAAATTTTATGTATAACACAAGACATAAATTTTGCTAATAAATTAAATTTTGCTATTTCTAGCTTACTCTTTTATTTACTCATATGGGGTTTTGGGGTTTTGGGGTTTTGGGGTTTTGGGG